CCTGCTGCTGCCGCTGGCAGGGGGGTCCCGGCCGGGCAGCGCCGATCGCTGCAGCTGGAGGGGCAGGTGGGTGCCACGGCCGGGCTGGGGGCTGCGGCCACCGGGAACCGGCCCCGGGGACCGCGGGGAGGCAGCGGCCGGGTCTCACAGGCCTGGTGGGTTTACTTCAGTCACCGGCAGGGAAATAGGCCACAAACCTTCTCAGGCTTCTCAGATATTACGTCCTTTCCCTCTATGTTTTGCTTTATACTTTTCTTTTAACTAATTATGCTGGCACGGATTTGATTTTCGTAAGTGACTTCAGCAAAAGTAACTCTTCTGAAAGCAGTGGAGTTGCACAGACTTGAGCGAGAGCTCGGGGGAAGGGCCAGCACCACCCTTTTAATCAAAACATTTTCTGGATGAGTTTGTATTGGAAATATGTCATAACATCACTGTGCAGCTCCTGCTGTGAGTGGCTCTCACCCCCATCCACTCACTTGCTGGTGGGATTTTCTGGACAGCTGAGCCAGTTGTACCACAATGAAAAGTTTTGAGCTATTTAGCAGTGAGAAGCTGCCCTCTGAGATTTCTCAGGGTGCTGCAGGCATCCAAACATGGATTTGGTGAAAGGGGCTGAGGCTCCTTCCCGTGCACCCAGCTGTGAGCATTCCCTGTCCCTCTGTGGTTCCTGCGGCTCAGATCTGAGGGAAGGAGCCCAGTCCAGCTGGAGAAAGCCAATTTAAGCGTCATCAGGAGAGTCAGGAATAAGATCTGTATGTGCAGGTGATGCACACTGCAGTGGCTCCCATCCCCTGCTGTTACTGACAGTGCTGTTTCCCAGCAGTGGTTTGGGCTGGGAGCCCGGTTCCCGTGCCGTGGAGCAGATCCACCTGCGCTGCACCGAGGGCTCCCTGGAGTGGATGTACCCGGCACGAGCCCTGCGAGTGGTCCTGGAGCCCAACCTGGCCAGTGGCCAGCTCACCACGGTCTGCATCAAACCCGCCAGCGACTTCCAGGGCGCCAGCATCTACGTGGAACGTGCTGGGCAGCTGCAGCTGGTGGTCAGCGAGGCAGAGGGGGCTCGGGCCCAGCACGTGTCCTGCTTCAGTGCCCACACCCCACCAGGAGTGACCCTGTTCCTGCAGGCCAGCCCGCACAGGGACATCAGCCGCCGCACCGCCAGCTTCCAGTACGAGCTGCTGAGCAACCAGAGCAGCGCCGGCCACGACTCCAAACAGATGGCTCTCTTTGAAGGTAAGAGCAGGGGATCCACTTGGGGGGCAGATCTAAGGTGGCAGCTGATCCCCACTGAGCTGGTGGGGACAGAGGATGCCTTGGCACTGCAAGGGAGGCCCTGCTGCCCTGCAGTGCCCTCTCTGAGAACATCCTCTGTGCTTATTTCTTTGCTGTGGTGGTGCGTGAGTAACAAGAACTTTGGTTTGCATCTGGTCACAGTGCTCTCCAAGCTGGTAGTTCTGCCCCGTTTCCCCTCTGAATTCACCAGTCCTTTTGCAATGGGATGTACTATAGTGTTACAAGTAACTGCTCTGTTTCTTTTAGCTATGTGCCGTCCTTGTGACAACATGGAACTCCTTATGGCCATTTGCAGCAGTGATTTTGGTAAGCTGACTAAAGGGGAGTCATTCTGCCTTTAATTTATATTTATTATCTGGACTTATTTGCTGTTTTTCTAAAAATAATGGCATGACTGTACTCTCTGACTAGGGAAAGAAACTGGAAAATGGGGGGCAAAGTGAAACCTAGAAGGGAGAAGCTTTGCTGCCAAGGTCCTCATTTCCTGCAGGCAGAAAGGTTGTGAACTAAAACTGAACTGTGGGTAATGTTCGCAGGTGTGCTGCTGAGTCACAGATGCATAGATGGACACTCAGGTTGAACATGCTTGGTGTAGTCCTTTTAATCCCTTTGTACTTCTTTTTATCCCCATTATGAATATGCCTTCTCTCTCCTCTCACAGTTTGCACACTCCCTAGTTGTTTTTTCTGTAGAGGCAGTGAGTTGTTTGCAACTTAGCTGAATATTTAATGTGATTTAAACTTTCCTTCAGTGGCATCCTGGCTAGGTTTCATCCCTTATTAGGAAACAGCACAGTTATTAGTCTATAAGAAAAGAAATAATAAGAAACAGTTATATGATAATGCATTAAAATCTTTTCTCCATTTTTGTCAGCAATGCAATATGATTTTTTTCTTTCAATCATGATTTGTTAATTTTATTCCCACGTTTTTCCACATGCACATTTATACCTCTTTGATTAACTCGAATAGCTACTGCCTCTCCACATAGCCACAGTTCCATTGCTGTAAATGTACCTACATAAAGAAATAAAACCACAAACTCCATATTCAACATTTAAAAACCCCACCAAATCACTGCTTTCCCACCAGGGCTCACCATGCTTTAAGGCTGATAAAATCAGACACCAGCATCACGGTGCAAATACAAAACCAGTGCAGAGCGTGCTTCCTTAAGAGTGCTCCACAACTGGTAATTTTTATTCTTCTTCTAAATTAATTGGTGGGATCCAGCCTGTCGTTTGTCCTGGAGGAAGGTGCTGGTTCCCAAGTGGGCTCTGTCCCCACTGGAGACTGACAGATGTGGGGGCCAGGCACACAAAGGGGGCACTCACACTCACAGCAGCAACAGAGCAGAAGAAACAGCCCTTTGAACTGACTCTATTTATGGCCTGACTTCGGTGCCCTGCGCTCACAAATCGCTATCATCAGCTTTTCTGATTAGAGAAAATAGCTGCTAATGAAAGTGTAAATGACACTGGGAGTGAATGGGGGCTTTATGGTTGTCCTTAGCATGAGGGTCTGCAGTCACTGCCCCCCAAGCAGTGCAGGAGCCACCTGGAACACCAGGAACAAGTGCATTACAGCTTGTCAATAGACTTGGCTGCATCTGATGGAAAATGATCACACAAGGAGGGAGACAGAGAGCAGAGATATCTGTTACACAAAATTCTGGATTCCCTTGGAAATCTAAATAAATTAGGAAGTTCTTGAAAACTTTTGAGATAAGGTTTTTCTGCATCTTGGGTTGTTGAGTTACAAGAGTGAAGGAGTTTAGTGGCAGAAGGGTGATTGTGTAACTCTCACTTGCTGAAGAGCTCTTTCTCAAATGGTGGATGTTTCTGAGCCTTCTATGGATGCAGGATTGAAATTAATTTAATTAGTAGAAGAATAATTGGTTGCTGTGAAAAATGGGGGCAGTGACAATGATAAAGGTGGCTTCAGGACAACAAACACCTGTCAGATGGGATGCTTCATTCTCCTATGGTGGATACAAAGAATGCAGTCAAACAGAGGCAAACCTTCTTATGCTTTCCTTCCAGCTGGGATCCTTCTGGGAGAAGGAGGTACGTGTATGCAAAGTGATTTTTAAATAAGGCTTCAAGAAAAGTCACTTTAAGGGTCCTGAGTTGTTCACCGCCTCCCAAAATGTCTTTTGGTGGATGGATGACATAGCCTTTTGAGAGAGAAAAAAAACACTAAACCTTTAAATGAAAAACATTTAACAAACTCTCATTTTTTTTTTCTGACCAAATCATATTCGGATTCTTCTTGGATCTCTGTTAGTGCTGTGAAAGGAAAAGCTCCAGAGTCCCCTGAAGTCAGGAAGGAGGTGTCTGTGATAGTCATTGCCTTGGAACACAACTGAAAAAAATTAATCCCTGAGCTGACCTCTTGTCATGTGCTTTTTTATCTTCCACTACTTTGCATTATCAACCTTTTTCCTGTAGTGTAGCTGGTTTTAGTCATAAAGCACAATTCCAAGGACATAGCACAGCTTGTGTGGGGATCCCCCGTGCAAAGGATGCAATGTAAGCTCAGAAATGTGTCCACATGCAGGTGGTAGGTGTAAAAACTGCACAGCAAAGCTGCTCTCCAGTTATTTTATTCACTGAGCTCGTAGTACCTGAGCTGTTCTCCTGCTGCTCCATAACCAGATTCTGTTTTCTTCACATCCAGTGGTGAAAGGATCCATCCAAAACGTCTCCCACGACTCAGAGAACCGCATGTCCCAGGTGGATGTCCGTGTCCAGAAAGTCTACAGGCAGAAAAACAGGATTTTCCAGCAGGAGGAAGGGAGTGGGGAGTGGAGAGGCCCCATCCAAACCCTTCTGCAGTGCAAGGTGAAGAAGGGAGGGGGAGATTTCCTCTTCACTGGGAATGAACACTTTGGGGAAGCCTGGCTGGGCTGTGCCCCTCGGTTCAAGGATTTCATGGTGGTTTACCAGGCTGCCAGAGAAAGGGGAGCCAACCCTTGTGAGTTTGAGCTCAACTGACATCAGAGACACTGTAAAAATTTCAGCCTAGTCTTTGGATATTGAATCTGGAGCAGAGTTAAAGCTAAAGTTAACAATTCCACCCAAACTGGGACCTGGAGGATTTCCTGGAGATAATGGCTCTGTGAGCCCTGTGAACTTTGACTTTTAACTCACATTAATTTCTCTTCCTTCACATTTTCTTTGCTTCATGAAATAACTCTGGATTTTGGAAAGACAGTGTTTTGGGGGAAAGTTAGAAAGCAGCCTGTGCTCAGTACTAGAAAAGTCTCTCTAACATCCCTTGCTCTGTGTAAATGTTATGTGCTTTTTCTCTCGATATTTTTCTCCTCTCCCCAGTCTCTGTTTGATTTCCTTTACAGGCAAATGTGAAAACTCTTTCTAGGAGGAAAAACTACCTCTAAAGCAAAAAAAAGCCCTTTCTTCACCAAAAATTACTTGATTTTTAAATTGGAACATAGATGCTATAAAAAGTACTTGCTCTTTTCTGACATTGAAAAACATTAAGGAGTTTAATACAAACACAGACAAAATGCAGCTAAGTTGCCTCCTTAAAGTTTTGTTGAACTAATTTAGGATCAAGAATTGCTCTATTTTCACCTAAATTATCTGCCTCTTTTCAATTAGCTTTTATTATTTGATTGGTGGCTCCTTCCACCCTCCCTTAGTGCTTTAGCCAGACTCACATAATTGCCTGTATTTTATGTAAATGGAATTGCTACACCGTAAAATGAAATACAAATGTGTCTACCACACAGAGCCCATAAATGGTGTGAATAAAGCCATTATTTCCCATGTAGTGGCATCTGATTGCAGCCTGAGCCACACCAGGCTGACAGATGTGAGCCCGTGACAGGGCCTGGAGAAAACTGAATGAGGAGAACTCTGACAGGCCACAATTAATTGACTTTTGGAATGACTCCTCTTTTCCACAGTTCTACTTGGCTGAGCAAGATTCACAAATTGCTGTCTTGAACTTTTTTATGGAACAAAATAGCTGCCAATGAAAGTCTAAATGACATGAGCTTTGAATAGGAGTCATACAATGACCAAACTGTGACATGTTTTTAACTGACATTGATTACTTGAGAAGTAGCAACCACTTAATTGTGAGGAAATTAGGAAGGGGAGAAGAAATGGGAGGGAGTCAGAGGAATGGGTACAGAAATATAGTCTGTTAAATACAATTTTACTAAAATAGGGAATGTCTTGATAAACATTTTTACATATATTCACAGAGAGTATGATTTGGATTCTAGGTCAGTTGTTCTTTTTGCTGTGAAAAAGTAATCACAAAGCTAGATCAAGAGGAAATGTCATTAGCAAGGAAGAAAACAGACCTTGCATGAATATGATCGTGCTGACTTCCCTCAGTACCTGCTCAGGCCCCTGGCTGTAGTCACAGTCAAGTTTGCACAGACATAAAATACCTGTCTGTCATTGGAAACTGAGGCAAAGCTTTGACAGACCTAACTGACCTCCTGATCCCAGGGAAATCATGGGAAAGTAGCAAAAATGAGGAATTTTTCCACCCTTTCTTAGTTTTTGCAGTACCCATCAAGTGCTCAAGCAACACCAGTAAAGTTTCTCTCCCAAAACCTTCCTCAGCCCAAGGCACTTGCAGAACTTTAGGTGGAAATGTTTAACTTGTTTCATGGATGCTTTGCTTGGGCTGATTTTTAAATCTATTGAGGCACCACAGCAGCTCCCTCCGAGTTGTTTTCCAGTGGCCACATGGGGAAGCAGCAGCTTGCAATTCCACTGGGTGGTATCAGCAATCATCACCTATTGCTGCTTCCAAGTGTAACTCAGGCTGGCAGATGCTGGATCTCACCAAAGGCTTTTTAAAGCAGTTCCACACTGGTCCTCCAGCTGAGGAACATGGTTTTCCTTACCCATAAAGGTCTCTAGCTTTGTTCACTGGGAAAGATGATCTCCTCATCCTCAGTGAGGAAGCAGCATTACTGATAACTGGTGTGTGGCGCAGGGGGAGGAGGCAGTTTTGGACCAGTCCAAAGAACACCACAGCTCTCCCATAAACCAGTGAGTGATGCACTAAGAGCTGTTCTTGTACCCTTGTGCCTTCACTTCTGCCTCCCTCCCTGAACAGAAAACAAAACATTCAGAGTCAGGGTTTCCTGTGAGTGTTTATTGAATTTAAACCATCACCATTCACCAGCCACCACAAGCACATGGAGCAGATCCAAATCCATGGTGGTGGCCCTGCCTGTGTGGACAATAACACACCTCATACAGACTGAAGTACAGGGTTGATATATCAGTATAATCAACAGGTTTATAACTACATAAGCATTCCTTTCCCAAAATACACTGTTTTACTGATGTCTTTAATTGAAGATTAAACATTCATTTATTTTCATTTGGCAACTTTTTTTTTATTTACTCTCACTTTTATGTTAAAATGCAAATCAATGCACATCTTTGCGGTGTTAACACCAGAATTAGTTCTTTTTCTAGAATAATTTGCTTTATTTGTAATACTAAAAAGAGAATTACAATTTAAAAATATGCTCCTTTATATGTCTTGTTTAAAACCAGTGCAGCTCTGACAAGTACTGCCCAAGTAAAACCACTTCAGTTGTGTTGAAAAGGTTTTAAAATGATCATTTAAATGATTTAAATTTATCATGCAGTAACTAGGATTTTTCCTAAACACACTAATTGGTTATAATAGTTATATCACATTAATGTTCCAATATATGCAAGATACCTGAAGCTAACCAAAACAACATTTCTCAGAAGCCACAGATTGGTCCTAGTAATGCCAAGGTCACCATTTCCATCCCCATACGAATCATTCACTTAAGAGCTGGACTCAGTGATCCTTGTGAGTCCCTTCCAATTCAGAATATTCCGTGATTCTGTGAATTCCAAATTAACAGAACTTCACTCTATGACTTGTAGTCACTCATAGCACAAAAGAAAAGCAAAACACAGGCTCAGGGGCCCAGCAGAAGGCTTGTTTCACTGCCTGGTAATGCAGGGCACCTCCTGTGTTCCACGTGCTTGGTCCTACACCCATGTCCCATGTCAAGAATCCCACTTTGTCCAGTCAGGCAGAATAAAAGCTGCTCTTTACTTTGTCTGGGTGTCCCTCCAGACTATGGCCACAGAAGCCCATAGACTCAGAGGGCAGTACTGACACCTCTTTAAAGTCAAGAAGCAAGGAACAGAGGATGGGGACTTTCTCCACTGCACAGACTGCTGGAGCAAGTTTTTGCCCACAGTCCAGGGGACAGAGCACTCCTTCAGCACCCTGCTGAGTGCATCTGCAGCCCTGCGGCACAGCCAAGCAGCAAAAGGATTTTTCAGAGGGAATTGCTCTTATCTTTCACTGCTGAAAAACTGGAAGAGCAGAAAACCCAGTTTGTCATCCACTGTTGTCTCCCAGCAGAGCACAGCCACCTTCTGCACCTTTTGCAGAGCTCTGCTCAGGCTGGGAGTTTTAGTGCTGACTGTGCTTTGGGAAGTGAAGACCCTTGAGAGGGTAGAACTGCTCCAAAAACAGCCATGGCACTTTTAGATCCACCATCAATTCCATATCCTATTCTGACCAAAAAATTGGAATAAATGAGACCAGTGCTACCCTTGACAAAGTACTAAGGGTTTACAAACCGAGTAAAAATAGAGACACCAAGCCTGAATTCCTGAAAGCCTCTCTCCAAAGCACTTTGGCTAATGTGGAATGTAGTCACAGAGGTTCTTTTCAGCCTTTTAACAATTCCCTGCCAAATTGCCAGCAGTGGCTTTGTGTTCTATTTCACCAAGTCCTGTAAGGGGAGTTTTACAAATCAAAGTCCAGGACAGGTCTCGTCTGAGTTTCCCATGGGCTACAAGAAGTAAGAACTGGCACACTAAGTCCAGAGGCACCAACAAGATACAGGACCAAGAACTATGAGATCCAAATACCTTGATTGCCTACAGATTGTTTTAAAGTTATAAGTAAGAAGTACAGATTTCTCTGTACCTGGTGAGAGCTTCTGAAGACATACCACAACTCAAAGAACAACAGGAGAATTAAAAATCCATCCCAGGAGGAATGGATGCATATTCTCCTTTGTGCTAATCCTCTGTATGTCAAGACTCACCCTGTCTGCCCACAGACCTCATGCAGAAAGGAACAGCATTTTCCAGATACTTGCACTCTGACTTGAGACTCCTCAAACTGGAGTCTCAAAAACATGAAAGAAATCCAGTTTCTACCACCTGAACAACAAAAGATAAACCAGCAGAGAATATCCCACCTCATAAAGAGGAAAAGCTTTATGAGGGGAGACCCTGAGAACAGGAATGCACCCCCTGAACTCCTCAGCACACACAAAACCCCAGCACTGAAGAGCCTTCAGCGTGAAGATGTGAAGCATGCTCTGGGTCACATGACACAGAATGCTTCATCCCAAAATCTTCATCACAGGATGCACAGCACTGCTCTGCTCTGTCTTCCTGACAACTCTGCTATATTCCCCAAGTCTGGGTTAATGTAATTTGTTTCCTGGTGATTCTAATATAATTTCTTTCCCATCAATTCTAAAAGTCTCTGCAGTTCCATTTGATGAGATCTGTCCTATTGGCTTTTATAACTCAGAGCCATAAGAGCTGAACTTAGGGGTTTAACAGCTCTTTCTGTAGCACCTGGTAGAGTCATAGACCGAGAACACCTGTATGGACAACAGTCTTCACAGGCAAAAGGGCAACAGTGAGACCTCCATCAAAGCCTGAATTTGTCACGGAATTCTTCCTGTTTCTTTCTCAAAGGGGTTATTGCTACCCACAGAACACATTAATTCTGTTGCTCCTTTAAAGGAAACCACAGAAGCCACAGGGGCCACATTTACCACTTGATTTTAGGGCAATCAAGACCTTTGCAAACTACTGTAGTTTTTACTATCACCAACATTTTGCAAAATCACTATCTAAAGGCTTTAGCAATTCAGACCAAAGAATTAACAGATTTCCTAAACTGCTTAAAAGAGATGATAACTTTTGTATCAAGCAATCAATCATTGAGACAGATTATTAAATGAACTAAACTGAGATACAAGATCTTAGTCTTTCATGTGACAGAGAGAGAGAACAGCATCACTGGAAAACAGCCAGAAGGCTGGGTACAAGGCTTCAGTGAACTGAGCTTTGAATTTATAGATCAAGTTATGCTTCTCCCCCACCGCTGTGAAAATCACAAACCCCCCATCGCAGTGCAGCAGCACCCCAATCTTGGTAGCCTTTGTGTTGGGCAGGGACTTTTCCACGTCGTTGTGCCAGGATGATATTTTGGAGTTGAGCCACTCGATGCACCAGGACTTGCTGTTCCTGCCCAGGCGGCTGTCGGGGCCCTGCCGCTCCATGCTGCCGTAGCACACCCCGATGCCACAGAAGCTGCCCTGCTGCAGCTGCACCTCCCAGTAGTGGATGCCTCTCTTGAAGCACTGGAAGCCCAGCACCTGGCGGTAATCGGTGAAGCGCTGAGGGTGGTACTTGTGACCTGTGAAGGTGTCCGAGATGGACATCCTGGTGTAGTTCTCAGCCAAAACCACCGTGCTGTGAGCTGTGTTGTAATCCAGAGTGATGTTGGCAGCATCTGCAATGACATTAATCACTAATCACTAACTGAAGGTACTGAAGAACAAAGCGCTTTTATTTATCCCACCCTGCACCAGCACTTGTTGCTGTGTTTATTTGCAGCTCTGCTCTCCTCAGTGCAGCCAGGTCTTGGGGCCACAGTAAAAGCTGGGTTCAGCTGCAGCTCTACATTACACAACAGGCAAATGGAGACTGGTTTTCTTCCTTCCTGCAGCCTCACAGGATCCCTTCATCACCCAAATACACCCTGGCAAAAGAAGACGATTGCTGATCTGGCAGAAAAAGGTATTCCATGTTGTATAGCATCTTAACAGGCCATCATGGGCTCATATAAAAGTCTGCATTTAAAAAGAACATTTAAAAAGAATCCAGTGTGTTACACTGTATTTCTAGGCTACCCTAATGCTGTCTTTTTCAGGGAAACTAAAGTCATTACTTAAAAACTTAATTTATCTTCATAAAAATACTTGGATGATGAAAATTAATTTGATTCATCTGGCAAAAGAACCACTTAGAAACTTCCTGCCCCCTTTTTCTCCAGAAATTTCCTTCATTTGTAACAACCTATTAAGCAAATAAAACGCCCTCAGAAGTATTTTTGTCAGGTAACTACAGAGGACACATAACACCAGTAGAACAAGAGCAAAGTTCATCTTTAAGGAGTGTAATGTTGGGTGTCTTACACTGCAGAAGCTCCTCTCTGGGTTTCTTCAGGAAGCTGTCAATGAGCTCTTTAGCAGCAGCAGCAGATGTGGTGGTTGGTGTAGTGGTTACTGCTGTGTCAACAGAAGAGAGTTTGGCCAGGTGGGAAGAGACCTCACATATTTAACATATTTAACATATTTAACATATTTAACATATTTAACATATTTAACAGCCCATCACAGACACACTCAGGCTGGAGCTGATCTGCTGCCCCATGCAGGGTTAACCTCAGTATTAACTGTTCACTGTCATGTCAAGTTTTCAAAATCCCACTCTCTGGACAACTTCTCTCAGTGTTTGATTGCTCTCACAGTGGCCAGCAAGAGCTGAACTTTTGCTCAATACACCAACACTAATTGAGAATTAGAATAGGCACGATGAAAGTTTGGACTCACCAACTTTAGCAGCTTTCTTTTTCTCTTCTGGAGCGGGGGGAAAGAAAAAAGCAAACTGTGAGTTCTACTGGGGGGCAAAAGCCACTGGTAAGACTATGTCAGCTGTGACACCATCAGCATGGCTCTTTGAAGCTGCAGCAGAACTGCAGCTGACAGTCAGCAGGCTGAAGCCAAGTACAAATAACCTCACACTGAAAAGCTGCATATCAAGAAGAATCTTTCATTTGCTTCCCATTTCACAGCGTCATAAGCCTGGAAGGAGCTTGATCTCCCCATCCAGGAGCAGTGTGTTTGGGCATGTACAATACTCCTGTTCCCATGAGGAACACTGACTGTTCCTTTCCATTTCACAGCAGAGCTTTTAGTGCAACACCACGAGTTGCAGCTCCATCCCAGTCCTGCTTCCCCAGCACATCCCCCCGACTGCTCCACACCCAGCACTTGGACCATGTGGCAAGAGCTTCCTGGAAGTAACTGAACTTGGTTCTTAATGGTTGGATTTACTTCAAAAAGAAAACATGGAAGATCATCCAAAGAGGCTACAGTGCCCATTAGTTCTGCTATCTGGACAAAACAGTACTGAAAGTCCCCACTAGAACCTGCCACAAAGACCATCACCCCAGCTCTAGACTGGAGGCAGCAAAATGTTTGAGGAAGGCTCCTTTAATCAGCACTTACTGGTATCTGTGTTCACCTGCAAAGTGGTTTGAGCCTGGGTACTGGTTTTCTCTTTGTGCACCTGGTCTGTGAGGGAGGAAGAAAAAACACAGAACATGAGCAGATCCTAAGCAGACCTCAATACATACAAATCTATCAAAGAAACCAAAAAGTGTTTGGCACAAATTAAAAAAACTTGCAACAGCCACAGGGTGGGGAGGCTCTGCTTTGCTTTACAGCCCACACTGACACCACTACAGGCTCAGGCACCGTGCAGTTCACCTGTCCAGCTCACACAGCATCATCCATCCCCCAATATCCCAAAGCACCCTCCCTTCCCTGTGCCAAGGTGCTCACTGAGGTCATCACTACATCACCACAGCAAGCAGATCTTGGATAAATGCTCCAACTCTCATTTAACAGTAAAGCCATAGTTAGGACAGGATGATGTTCTGTAGTACTTACGAGGTCCACAAGCCTTTTTTCCAACAGGAGGTTTGTTTGGATGAGCTGCTGGAGGGGCCTTAATTTTCACAGGTTTGGCTGCAATGGTGATAATTTACATTATGGCCAGGAACAGTCATGGACTAGTGAGGAAATTTTTCCATCTTATTTTTCACTTATATGAACTGAAGTGATATTTGGCAGAGATGGGAACTCCCAGAGATGGGCACACCCATGCCCCAGTCCAAAAGATAATTTGGCTGCTAAGTAGAGCTTTGTTCCACCACACTTATACAATCAGCACCTTTACAGTTGGGTAAACTGAACTCTAAAGCCTTTCAAATCTCCCTCCAAATCCACGTCCTAACCACATCCAACCCTGCCACATAGCAACACCATAAATTACACTGAGGAAGAGAGGCTGAGCTGGGCCAGAAGGGTGTAATGTGATACTCGTCAGCTTATCCAAGTATAGACAGCAGTGAAGAAACTGGCATGTTTTGTCTCCCAATTTAGCCCAGACTGTAAAGGTTTTGTGTGGAAATGGAGCAGTGCAGAGACTGGAAAACACAATTTACATTACCCGACTGTATTTGTTGCACTTTTTAAAAAAAATGATATTTGGACTGGAGAGGCAAGATCCCTCATTTCAGCTCAAAGCAAAATTAGAAAATGCCAATTTCCCCACTGATACAGTACCTTCTTCTTTTTTCTCCCTACTCTGAATCAATGAAACTTTCACTATGTCTTTGAGGATAATGGCAGACTGGTAAGTGGAATGCATCACATTTTGGTCCATTTCAACTACAGGAACAAAAGCCTCTTTTGTTGATGTTCGTTGCAGTGCTGCTGCTCTCTGAAATGACAAATGAGAGACCACCTTGTGTAGCACACAGAGAAAAATACAACCAACTTACTTTAAATGGGGTAGAGTTTGTACATTCATCTCAAATTCAAGGGAACAAAGGCTACAGTCAGACACAGCTCATGGCAAAATTCCAGCAGCAGCTCAGATGCCTTAATTCCCTATGGTACCTGAATCAATGAGCAGACAGGTCACAGCACAGAGCTGCCACACCCCACAGAGGTGACTCCTGCCCAGTGACTCCTCTGCCTGTGGACTGAGGAAGTTACCAGACACCCCTTCTGCATTCTTTCACTGATATTTGTGTACTTTTCAGTACATCCTCTGACAGCAGGTTCTTGCACACCCCTGCATCTCTATTTGACTGGAAGTCTCTGGAGAGCAGGATGACCACAGCAGCTTTTTGTCATTCTGCATTCTAGAATGAGGAATAGGATTCACATTTAAATGACGCGTTACCTTCAAAAATAGAACGTCATCACTTTCAGTCAGTGCCATCTCAATCTGATCTTTGAGAGACAGAACTTCTTTCTTCTTATTTCCCAGAACACTATAAATATAATCAAATTTATTCCAAACTCTCTTTTCTTCCTCCGTAATTGCTTTCATGATCTCATTTTCTCTTTCTTCAATTAAAGCTTTAATTTCTGAAAACTCATTTCTGATCAATTCCTTCTTTCTTGAAGCTGTCTCCTGGAGCAGAAAGAGCAGATAGGCACTGGTTTCAAAAGAACAGTTTGTAAACAAAATACTCTCAGCGCTACTGCAGGAAAGCCTCTGAGGAACAGGTGGGCTTCTCTTCCCTGAAACAGGCAAGAAAAGAGCTGTGGATTTTTATGTGATTTGGAAAGAAAACTCCTCCCCTCACAAGGAATGGAGCCCTTTGTCAGTGCTGCCCTCACGTGAGGATATAAAACCTTGAACAGTGCCTGGTTTACTCCCATCTCCCACAGAGCTGCCCGGCCCTGCCAAAACTCCTCTTTTCTGTTCCTTCCTAGGAAGGAACACCTTCTCCTTCCAATGCAGCCTCAGTACTACAGCCGTTGTCACAAGGGTACAAACACCAGCTCCAGGCAGTGGCCAGAGGGTGCCAGGCAACCTGAGAGCTCTCTGAACAGTCACCCACTTACAGCAGACTGGTTCTGGTTTGTTTTCACCGTGCTCATTGCCCGGGCAGTTCTTTCACTCTGGTTATGCAGCTCCACCAGTTTTTTCTTCAGCACCGACTGCAACAGGAGAGACCAGAAAGTATTTCAGAGAGGCAGTTGTCACGTCTGCTCTCAGTTTTAAATACTCTTGTATGCTTTTAGTACTTTCAGCTTAAAACCTATCTTCCCTTCAACCTCAGAGGGTGTAAAAGCACTGTCCTGCACACGTGTGCCTTACCCACACCCTCCCCACCTCTCCCAACAGCAAGATGCCATTGTTGACACTCTCCTCACAAAGAACCCAGAGCTTTCATCAGTGCAGCAGTTCTCATGCTAAGAATAAATGTTACATGAGCTCTCAGGTCGGACTTTGGGTACCAAGTTGATGCTACTGTTCACCCCTCTCCTTTGGAGAATTTTCTCATTCAGATGTGATTTACCTGTTCCTTTAGTTCAAGATCCTGCTAAGCTCAATCAGGGCTAAGTTCTGCAGCTAAGCTGCGTACACACTCACTGAACAGACGGGAGTTTGGCCACCTAAACTTTTTTGGCATACTTTACTCATCCACACTGATTTTCAGTATGCTGGAAAATAGAAACACCACGTTTCCCTCCCTTCTACTCTGTGAACCTCCTTCTCCCTTTCTTCTACACACCTGAGATCTCCCTAGGATATCTTTATAACTCTTCTGTTTAAGAACATTTGCAGAGGAACGTCAGCCCCTCAGGCTGTGACAAGCCCTGGCAGGGAGCAGAGCAGAAGAGGAGTCTCAGAGTTCTGGGAGAGTATGGGAGGCTTCACTGGTGAGCCCAGCCCAGGAGCTGGCAATCAACTCCCTGACAGCGCCTTCCCAGACCCCTGCCCCTGAGCAACTTCTTGGGGAGGAAAACGCAAGGAACGATTCTGCGGACGTGCCTGAGCACACGCTGGAGGGCAGATAACACTTTATCAATGCCAGACACCAGATTTACAGTCCATGTCTTGCTCTGGCCTGTGCCCCGCGCTCCAGAGCGGCTCTCCAGGCAGCGGGGGAGCCAAGGGGCGCTCCGGGCTGCCCTTGGGAGGCTGTTCCAGCCCCGGGGGACACCGGCCAGCCCCGCCTCGCCCCGCCTGCTCACCTGGGCAGCGGCTTTCGCCTGCTCCAAGGGGCTGGTGGGGCACGTCTTGTGCCCGAGCAGGCAGAGGGAGCAGATGCAGACGCCGTGCTGGCTGCAGAAGAACTCAAAGAGCCGGTTGTGCTGGGGGCACTTGCGCTGCTGCAGGTCCCGCAGGGGCGGGCAGAGCTGGTGGTCGCGGAAGGCGGGGCTGTCGCGGTGCGGCCGCAGGTGCTCGGCGCAGAAGGACGCGGTGCAGGTCAGGCAGGTCTGCACGGCCGGCGCCTCCTGGCAGCTGTCGCAGGACACGGGGGGCTCCCCCGCCCAGCACCCCCCCGCCTCCCCATCCT